TGTATATATATATATATATATATATATATATATATATATATATACATCTATTGTTTTTTTTTTCTCTGGAGACTTGAGACTACGCAAGTAGCGCGTGCTTGTTTGTCTCCTTTTCTGTGTATATCTGTCTCCTTTTCTTTTTCTTTTTTTTTCTTTTTCTTTTTCTTTTTGTTTTTCTTTTTCTACTAACTCTTAAACAGAAAAATATGTTAATTGTTTTTGTTTATTAACCTAGCATATACTGCCACCATTTCTTTTCTTTATTATTTTTATTTTTATTTTTGTTGTTTTCTTTTTTTTTTTGGGTTTGTTGCTCTTCTTCTTCTGGCCCTTTATTTCCAAACCAAAGTTCTGGCAGTTCTTCTTCGTTTTCATCCTGAGGAGAAAAAAAAAAAAAAAATATTATTTCAGGTGTATATACACCTGAACTTGTTGATAAAATTTATAAAAAAAATACACATACCAGCTGAGGTTCAGCTTCGAGAGGTTCTGCTGCTGCTTGTCTTTGTTTTGTTGCAGCAAAAGGAAACACTACAGGCTGTAGATCACTTATTATATCTTCTTTTTCTTTTTCTTTTTTTTCTTTTTCTTCTTTTTCTTCTTTTTTTGTCTCCTCAGGGGGGCTTGTTGCTGCTATGTAACGCAAAAGAAACAGAAGGTCTTTACTTTCTTCTTTGGGGGCAATCTGTTCTTATTGTATTATGTATACAAAAAAAAATAAACTAAAACGAAAAAAAAATAAATACTTTTTCTTCTTCTTCTTCATCTTTATCACCTTCAGATTCATCTTCTTTTTCTGTTGCATTTTTATCTTCTTCTTTTTCTTCTTTTTCTTCTTTTTCTTTTTCTTTTTCTTCTTTTTCTTCTTTTTCTTCTTTTTCTTTTTCTTCTTCTTTTTCTTCTTTTTCTTCTTTTTCTTCTTTATCTTCTTTCTCTGCTTTTTCTTGTGTATGAATGGCTTTCTGTTCTTCTTCTTCGCTTTGTTGTATATCTGAAAGCACTTGAGTTTGTACTTCTCCTATGGATTCAACTATTTCTTTCTCCGCCTCAGTTTCTGTTTTTTCTGCTGCTTGTTGTAGTTTTTCTGTTGCTTGTTGTGTTATATGTTTTGCAATCTCAGCAACGCGTGTTGCTTCTTTTTGTTCATGTTCAGCTTTCTCTTCTGCTGCTAGTGTTTCTGCATCTGCTGCTGTTGCTGCTGCTCTCTCATTGCTTTCCTCTCCAACAGCCTCAGCTATCATTGCTGCTAGTTTTGTATCTGCTGCTTTTGCATCTGCTTCTGTTGCTCCTACTTCAGCTTCTAGTGCAGCTAGTTCTTCTTGGAGTGTATCTGCTAGTTTCTGTTCTTCTGCGATGAGTGCCTGGGCTGTTTCTTTTTGTTTTTTCACTTCTTCTTCTTCTTCGGTGATTC